ATATATATATATATATATATATATATATATATATATATATATATTTTAAAAGTTGTTTGAAATGTTTGTGTGATGTGAGCTTTAGATGAAACAGGGCTAGAGTTTGATTATGAAAAAAATGCAAACCTATTTGAACGGCCAATTAAAGCCCATATTTTAACAATTGATAGTGCAGTACTTGAAGCTTCCTGATAAGACGCCATCCAATCAGTCGGACTGAGCCTCAGGAGCTTCGCTGAAACATTTGTAGATGTATGAAGCTCATAAAAAACTAAAATTGTCCAGAACAACAAATAATGACTCAGAAAAGCTAAATACAAAATGCAGGCCTCATTGAACAGTAACACATAGCGTACCACTGGTTTATTAATCATTTTAAATGACATAAAACTACAAAGAATGCTGCACAAATGCAAAAGACATAAAAAAATAAATAATAGAATATAAGTTAAAAAAGGTCTTCTGCATACAACTCTGATGAAATGCTTTAAAGCTTGTAGCTGCAATGTGGAAAAACTGAAAGAAATGGGTGTGAATACTTTTGAAGCTGTAGAATGTTGATTAAAGACTTTGTTTACTTTCCCCCAGGATACAAAAATCATCAGTTTTTTTTTTGTTGTTTTGTGGTCGATTTCTTCTTCCTTTCTTCAAACCTGATTCCTGTTTTCATCCAACAGCAGAAAGACGGGACATTTGCTGCCGGAGGTTACATGCCCCCTCTACGCTTCAAGATGATCACCCTCTGCATTGTTTTTGGCACCATGCTGGGAGGCATTCTCATCCCTAATGGTGAATCCTGTGTGTGTGTGTGTGTGGAGGCCTTTAAGGTGCATGTGTTCCTTTATGTGGGCGGAGCAGCTGGGGAGCTTTACGATGTGTGTGAATGTGACTTTACGAGTCAGTGACTGTCACACTCTAACACAGTCTTTAAATCAGGGCCCCAACTTTTATCTCCTTTTAGATGGGCTGACGGGTAGATAGGGCAGTTATTCTCTCCAGCTCTGCACACACTTAAAACCACACAAAGACAAGTTCATGTCCACAGCAATGCTGGCGCTCACTCAGGTTCCTTAGGTTAGTTTATCCTCAGCAAACGCCTCTAAAAACAGAGGAGATGGAAAGGTTAAATGCTTAGCTTTACTTTATTCATCCTTTTTTCTTATTTACTGTTTGTTAAAGCTTTGATTGGTCGACCACACAAGCAGATGGGCAGAGGGGGGGTCTTTGTGTATCTAATCACACTAATAGACTGAGGAGAAAGGAAGTGAGGACCCCGGGGAGAATGGACACTAAATCTGAGCAAAACAATATGGTGTCCGTCCTCTGGATGAGCGATAGGGTTCTGGGCCTGATGCCCAGCACGGTGATCCTGAGCTGCAGAGCTTGGTGCCATTGCTGTATGTTTCCTGCCAGGAGCAGCACAGTGTGGTACCGCCTATTAATGTAGGGCTGCAACTAACTATTATTTAGCAAATCCATTAATCTGTTGAGTATTTTTTTTGGATTAATAATCTGATAGCCAAAGATTCTTTAAAGAAGACTTTTTTTTTTCAAAATAAAAGCAGGTGAAACTCAAATTTTCCACTTGAGGTGTTCTTAAAAGAGCATATTGACAAAATGTATCTTATTTTATCTTAAACGCTGCTCAGTGGTGCAGTGGGTAGCACTGCTGCCTTGCAATAAGAAGGTTCCGGGTTAGATTCCTGGCCTGGGGCCTTTCTGAATGGAGTTTGCTTTGCAGTTCTCGTTAGGTGTCTGTGTTGCCCTGCGATTAACTGGTGACCTGTCCAGGGTTGAACCCCGCTTCTTGCCCGTAGACAGCGGGAGAAAGGCACCAGTAACCCTTGTGACCCCAGCTGGGATAAAGCATGATGGGAAATGGATGAATGCAAAATGTTTGTTTTTTACAACCTTGGAATAATTCCTGCTCTAAGTGGGTTCCACTGTCAGCTAAAGGCATGTTTTACAGTCTCTATACTCCGGTTAACAATCGATTGCTTAAATAGTTAACAATTATTTCAGTAAATGATTAATCACGATTAATCTCATTGTTTCAGCTCTATAATAATCAGTTTACACCTACACAAGGGTTTATTTTTGCATAAGATGGTGAGAAATCCACTCAGAGGTCTAAATCAGGAAGCTATATTGTTATTTTTTAAAAGTAATCTAATTATCCTGTGGAATAAACCATCCAGCATCACCAGCAGCTTTTTTTCTTTATAACCTTTTCTACTAATTTTTACCTGACGCTATGTTTTGTTGCTCACAGATCTCCCATTATATATGTATTTGTTTATTTTAATATCAGCCGATGCATGTACTGTAAACAGGTTGTCCTTCCTGTTTTTCAGTGGAAACCATCCTGGGTCTGACTGGTGCCACCATGGGTAGTCTCATATGCTTCATATGTCCTGCTCTCATCTACAGAAAGATCCAGAAGAATGGCTTCATTTCTCAGGTTTTCAGTTGCTGATATTTATTGTTCTGAGAAAACATTTTGTCTTCTTCCTGTTTAACTTTCTCACATTTGTCACATTAAACTTAAAACATCAAAGCTTTTATGTGGTAGACAAAGCACAATATGATTATTCAAAGTTTTATTCTCTAATTGTTGACAAATGAACATCTAAAGTTTTGTATCCCCAGTTTTCACTGGAGTTATTTCTTCATATTCTTTGGAATACCAAAAAAATAGTTGAAAACAATCTACTGGACTTTGTTTCCACGTTTGAAGACGTTTCGCTTCCCATCCAGGAAGCTTTTTCAGTTCAAAATGTCTGAAAAAACGTCGAGTTAGAAGCTTTATACAGCAGCCCAACAAAGCCTTGTCTAGAAAACAGGCAAATTGAAAACAAAAACAAGGCTTCCTGGATGGGAAGTGAAACATCTTCAAACTTGGAAACAAAGTCCAGTGGATTGTTTTTAACTTATTTGTAATGACTCTGACCTGGATGACTGAGAATCTTCACCAGCATTCTTTGGAATACATCTAGCCTATCTGGATAACATCTGTTTAGAGCTGCTATTGGTATATAAGCTATCTACATGACCTTTGTTGTCATCTAATAAAGAAAATGTTTTTTCTAATTTAGATTTTATAGTTACAAAAAACTTTAACAAAAGAGAATGGATACTGGAGCTTTTATGGTGTGTTGATGTTGGTGGAAAATTCTTTAAAGAAAGAAGGATGACATAGTTTTCAACCTAATGGTAACCTGTTGTCATTTTGTTGTGGAAATGCAATGCAGTCATTGAATTAAAGAAAAAACAGTTTTTGTTTTTGTATTTCTATTTAAAATCATCAGTTTTTCTAACTCTCTGTATAAAGACCAGAGGCCAGTTGCAGCTCTAGATGGTGAATCCTGGTGTGACCAAACATTCATTTATGGCTTTGTTTAATCAGTGTCCACATATTTACAGTCTGTCCTGCAGGATTTTTAATAAAGTTTAAAACTCCTGCAGCTAAGAATGAGCTTTATCCTGCTAGTTGTAGAGTTGCTGACTAATCATAGTTTTGTGGGGTGATTCTCCTACCTAAGCTAGGAGTCCCTGAAGCTGTTTCCAGAGGAATGCATTTCTAATTGCTCTTTTTGAACTTTTCTCTGTCTCGTCCGTCTGTCCTGTAGCTGGTTCTTTGCGTCGGTCTGGGAATCCTCCTGGTCAGCACCTTCACCACGCTCTCAGTGTCAAGAAGCAGCCCCAGCTACAGAGTCCCAGCTCCTCCTCCCCCGGCACCTAACAAGAATATCCTCCCTCTACCAAACCTGCCTGACCCCCACGGTAAAGATCACGACTTCCTCTAATGGCTGCAGACACTTAGCCGCTTGATGGACTGTAAATGAAAGTGGTTTACTAATGAGCCGTTGAAACATTTACCTCGGCACGCTGGAGCTGAGGCCGTCTGCTGAGTGTAAGATGGGCCGGCACCACTGACTGTAATTATTTCATGTTAAATGCCCCAGCAATAGAAGGACGGTGGTTGTTTCTTTGAAATTCCCTGCAGATTAAGCAAGCTTTAAGAAGAAATTATCTTAAGGCAAAGTGCCACAGAGATAAAAACAAAAGCGCAGCGCCACAGTGGAAGAATGTTCTTCTATTATTTACCTGAGAGGAAAAGAGACAGGCAGGGTGAGGAGATAACCTCTTGATAATATCTGAAAGCCGCGCTCACTTCTTGACATTGATGAAGCGGGATTGATGCCCTTCAAACTCCAGCAATTTCTCTCAGCCTGTGTTCATTTCTCCTACCAGCCCCCAACCCCTTAAAATTCACTGTCTTCAGCCTCATCCACCCTCATTCCTCTGGTGGCAGCTATACAATGACTGCAGGCTCACAACATAAGAAGCAAATGAAGGATGAAAATAGGAGTCTGAGAACATTTTTATCCAGGTTTGCTACTTTCAGGTAACACAGGAGTCTTATAATGTCTTATAGTGGGAATGTCCTTCATTTAAATGCAGTATTTTTTATTTTATTTATTTCCTCATATTATTTCCCTTTTGACCACTCTGTGTTTGCCTTTTCCTTTATCATTCTGCTATTATTTGTTCACATTGAGCTAATTATACACCTACTTCCTGTTAGTTTTAAATCTTTTTACCTTTTCCCTGTTTAATGCAGTTATATAGGTTTAGTATTTGCTGCCACCTAGAGGATCTTTTGAAAACAACAGCTTCAAGAACAGTTGGCAGACTTGTGGTAAAATAAAGTTGCATTTTATAAATTCATACATCATAAAGAAATGATTTGTTTCAACAATTCAATTTAAGGGAATCATTTTTTTGATTAATCGATTAATAATCATATAGCCAAAGATTCCTTAAAGAAAGTTTTTTTTAAGAAATTAAACGGGGTAACACTAAAACATTTGAACTGCAGCAGGTCTGGATAGAGCTGATTGATAGACAAAAGTTATTTTTATCTTAGATGCAAAACGTTAAAATATATTTTTTACATTTTGATATAAATACTGCTCTTATTGGGTTGCTTTGTCAGCTAAAGGCATATTTTACAGTCTACACTCCAGTTAACGATTAATTGATCACCAAATTAGTTGAGAATTCTTTGAATAATCAATTAATCACAATTAATCCTCTTCATTGTTTCAGCTCTAATCTAAATATTTATTTCTAATGCTTATGGTTCACATTAAATGAAACATGGACTCTAAATGTCTCTTAAGACCAATAAAAGAATCCTTTTCTAACAGAAATGTTCCACTGTCCTGTCAAAGACAGCTAAAGGGACAGTTGCTCAACTGACACGAATGTTAAAGCCATGCAAAGTGTTCTAGTTGTAACCGTATCAATGGAAAGTTCAGTGGAAGGAAAACTTGTGCTAGAAAGTGGAGCACAAACAACAGGGATGACATCAGCCTGAAGATTATGAAGCAAAGCTCATTGAAGTTTTAGGCAGATTCATAAGGGGAGATTGTAGCTGGAAGTCAGGACATTTAAGAGCCACTGATGCAGAACTGCTGCTTTCCCTCTGTAAAAACACTCCCTGACCAGGAACATTAGTTAGAAATGCTTAAAAAGAGCTAAATATGGGCACTTCATTAGCTACTCTTTATAATCATTACATTTTAAATGAGGAAACACTAAAAAAATCTGTCTTTGTGTTAATAATTGAACTGTATCAATCTCACATGGAGAGATTTACCTTTCCCCCTTGGGGAGCAGTGGGCTGCCATTTTGCGCCACCGGGGAGAAGTGTGGGGTTGAGTGTCTTGCTCAGAGGCCCAGAGGGGCATTCTGTGGGAGTTGGGCTCAAACCCAGAACCTCAGAATTCCAAGCTTTATGCCCTAACCACTAGGCCGCCCCTCCCCAATGCTGTTATATGCTTTGATATGTTAGTTTTTTATAAAAAAAGAACTTTTGGTTATTAATTTTGTAAAGATTTATATCTAGGCATGAAAAAGCTGAAAATAAAACTTGATTTTCCTTGAAATAAGTGCATTTTCCCTTAATTTAAGCAAGTAAGGTAGATTTTGCATAGAAGACCAGAAATCAACACTTGTTTAATATGCAGATCATCAGTTTTTGCTGTTTATAAAAAGCTACTTTACAAAGGGTAGGAAAAGTTAAAACTTAAAAAATGTTGACATTACCAAAAGACTTAAAATAACTCTTAATAAACAATGATTGAAAGAGGTTTGAAGCTGTGACGAACTCTTGTTTTTTTCACAGACGACTCTGTAGGCAAGAAACCAGTAGAAATAGAGAAGCCTGATCTTCCAGAAGGAAATGTGCTGCAACCTGCAGAGAGAGATGCTGAGCCTCCCCAGATCAAGGGACCAGATGAGAGGAAGGAAGAGGAAGTGGTGCAGCTGGATCGTCCCGATGCCGGTAAGAAGCAAACTGTAAAACTCACCTGATCTCAAGCCGCATAGAATCTCTGACGTCTGTTCACTCCGCCGTAGCTGTGCCAGAGGGGGAAGATCATCGTCACGAACCGCCCATCCCCGAAGATGAAGTGAGGGTAGACTCAGGGAAGAACAACGTAAAACCAGAAGAGGAAAAGAAGCAAGCCGAAGAAGATGTCAAAGAGGAACCACAGCGGAAGGAACTGGGCCCCGCTCCGAAGGCAGAGGACAGGAAAGATGAAAACGTTGAAGTGAAACCAGCAGGGGCTGCTGAAGGGAAGGAGAAGGAGAAGGAGGGGAAGGTGGGTGGCCAGGTGGCGTCCAATGAGGTGCTGGAGAAGCATGTTGGAGAGTTAGGCAAACAGGATTCAGCTCCTCTTCAGGACGCGGATAAACCTGTCAGAGACGCTGCTAATAAAGACGCAGATGTGGCAGCCAATCAGGCAGCAGCACGTAACGAAGAAGGTGGTAAACAAGCCAACAATGCAGAAAAGGGTAAATATTTCAACAGGTCTTTATAAACACATATGCAGCATTTCTGTTCCAGTGATTTTGGCTTTTTTTTAATCCATAAATTTTTCTGGCTCCAGGTTCTGAAGAAGAGCCTCATCCTGCTGGAGACAAAGCCGCAGCTGCAGACGGGCCTGCAGCTGCAAACAGCAAAGATACAGCAGATGAGAAGATGGACGGTAGGTTAAGCTGAGACCTCTGCTTTCAAATAAGTTAGAAAGATACATGAGGATAAGATGTAGTGGAGAAAAGGCAGGAAAAAAGCATCATTAAGGATGAAACAAGTCTTTAAACCTTAGCAGAGCAGCCATCCAGTATAATTTCTGTCCTACTAGGGGAGACTCTACATTGGCCTCCTTGGACCCTTAAAGCCTGATGTGTTAAGCTGCAACCACATCTATTTAAAAGCAGCTTTAACAAGGTTTATGGGTTTGTTGCACCAGTAATAACGCCCACCTGCCTTTTTCACATTCTGTCAGTTTACATACATCATTGTATATTCTGGAGAACTATCAGATAAAATGTTTTTTCTGACCATTCTTCTTTGGGGGATAGTTGAATGAAATAAAAACTTTGGCTAAAAAATGGTTCACAGGCAACAGGGATAACAGCAACCTTAAGGTGATAATGATGACGTTTTGGACAGATTAATAAAGCAGGACTGTGGGCGGAGTCAGGGAGCCACAACATACGGCGTATTCAGGATACTGGGCTGCAACTACAGCATTCTTTGGCTGTGTCCCAATGTCTGCACTAAGCTCTAACCCTTCAATCACTATACAGAGCGGCGACTATATAGTGGACTTTATAGTGAGCTCAGTTAACTGACCATTCTGACAGATGATCACTACTTTTCACTTCCTGTTAGTCACTTAACTCCGCCTCCCTGCGCCATCTTTGTCTTTTGTCTGCGCAACAAAAAATACCATGATGCTTTGCAAGGAGAGCTCTCCTTGCAAAGCAATCTGGGATATATCTGCTTGATTAGTGACCACGGAGGATCACTACCTTTCGAGGTGCATTGTGGGAAATTTCGAGTCCGCTACTTTTTCATCCACTAGACATTTGGACAGTCATCTGAAATGGTGTAACCACTATATAGTGATTAGGGCGGGCATTCGGACATAGCCATGGAGTTGGTTATGCTGCAGAAAAACTATTTGATTTTATGTCTTTAGCTGTTAGTTTGGTTAAATAAACAAAGAAAATATATCAGCCTGTGTGTCATGATGTGCTGTAGATATTACAGTTTTTATAAATAAACCTTTCAGTGCAAAAATAGCTTAATCTCATTTAGCTTGAGAATGAAATGTAAGCAGCGGATCTAAAGTCCCAGTTTGTCAAATGAACAGCTTTGAAGCAAACCCTTCCAGTGGTAACCATGGTGATGTGTTTAGGGGTTTTGTTTCAGAAGGTGAACCTCGGACCCAGTGACGCGTTGCTTTCCAGCTTTTCCTTTATCAATCCTCATATCAACTTTAACTTGATCGGCTGCCCTGCTACAGAAGAGGCTGAGCATTATGCTACGTTCAGACCGCATGTGCTTAGAGGCAGCAGAAGCAGCTGGTTTACATGCAAAGTCTATGGTTGACGAGCATCAAGGTGCAGCAAAAGTCCTGCAGCGCGTTTTTAGCAGCAGGAGCTGAACGTCTGAGCAGCTGAAGCAGCGCTTCAAGAGCTTCTGAGCATCTGACGTGCAGGATGCACTTCAAAAGCAGCTGCTGGAGTTGGAAAAATGGAACTTTGTCTGCTCAACGCGCCACATCAACCAATCAGAGAAGCTGATCTGGGAGCTGGCAGGGAGACAGACACATCGCTGCTGATGCAGAGCGCTATGATCACTCCTCTGAAACAGTTTATTAACACCTAAATTAACTTCAAATGTAGAAACCTGCCGACAAAATTTGTTACATTTTAATATTCTGGCGCCTGCAGTTTGGATTAAGTATGTGAAAAACGCCTTCCAGCCGCCAGGAACAGTAGCAGAAAAGCTCAAAGAGGCAACCGGGCCGGAGGCTTCCATTGAAGGGGATTTCCAGGGACAGAGCACCGCCGGTGTTCAGGGGGTCTGAGCGGCTCGACAGCGAAATAATATATGAAGGCAGGAGGGTAAATCTTGATGAAGTTCTCAGGTGGACTTTCTCTCTTAAAAAACATTAAAAATACTTTTTAACATGTAACAGCAAATTTGGCAAAGCTGCTCACTGCCATTAACACAGGAGCATTAGACACATCTGGACACACTTTACTGGACGTCTGACCTTAATGTGGACAAGCAGCAAAAATGAAGCAGCAGGAGCTTTTTGCTACTTGCAGTCTAAACTTAGCATTATTCATTAAAATAAGCCAAGCGACTCTTGATTTCATCCGCCATTATTAAAGGCAAAGAAAGGCTAGGGTAGCTCCGCCCAACGCGCATCAGACCCACTTTACGACAGCGCAGCTAGAGCAGCAAAGATGCTTCAGCCGCGCGTCAGAACTAAACTTGTACTTCTGCTTCTGCTGCGTGCGGTGTGAACGTAGCATTGCTCTGCCATCCCCGTGTGTTTCCATGTGGATTCTGGGTTCAGAGTGGTGTTTAGTGTTAGTTTTTGTTTTTTTTTCCAGACCTACTGTTTCATCTTCAAAGATTACAAAGAAGTGGAGCTAAATTTGCACATGCATTGTTTTTGTTTTGCATGTGCACTAAGTGTTGCAAATGATCTAAAAATGTTGCGTCTCAAACGTTAAAGCATGGAAAGCAGATCTTCACCTGAAATAAAAATCCAGAACTGATTTAATGTAAACAAACATTCCTCTTGGCTGGTTTTTGGGTATTTCTATCCACTTCTGCCTGATTTTGGTTCTGGTTCCTTAAGTGGGAATAGACTGGATACTGGGTGAGACTGCTGGTTCCCGGAAAGGTTGCTTGTTTTGTTGCTTCTGGTCTTTATTTCTCTTTGCTTGTTGTACCTTATTTTATCTTTGCAGCCCATTCTTAATTTGTTAGAGCTGTAAACACATGGCAGTCTTATTTTACTTGCTGACTTTTCATGCTCTTAGCAGCATGATCTGCCTTGTTCACTCTTATATTCTGTTATTTACTTTTGCTTCCTTTTTCTCCTCTTCTTAACCTCTTTCCCTTCCTTCCTTCTCTCTGGCGGATTCAAATTGCAGTGATTAAAAAGCTGGTTGCAGGTATGGATTTCTTCTTTCTATTCTCTGTTTTTAACCTGTCATTCATTCAGCAGCTGATCAATAATCATTACTGACCTTAATACTAAATGCTACATCACTGACCAGTAAGGGTGAATAGAGACGCACCAAAAAACAATCAAATCTGTGGTTGACCAGAAGAAAAATATTATTTTGACAGCATATTGAGTCATATCTATGGTTAAGATAGCAAGAAAGATCAGGGCTTTAAGCAGATAACAGGAAGGCAAAGTGTTCTGCTTTCTCATAGATTTAAATGACTTTTCAAAATCTTAGATCTTAAAAATCTACATTTTCCATTGAATGCTCGATAACTGCTCTTTTGCTAACAGCCTAACTGATTATTGATGCTACTCAGGGATCTTTTTGTCTTTATTTTAAATTTGTAAATCTTTCTTTATACCTGTTGCTCTCGCACCCAGTGGGACATTCCCTTTCTTTTAATAGAAACATTTAAAAGGGTTTACTGTGAGGCAAAAAAGTATTTATTAAGCCTCGAAATGTGCATAATCTCTTACTTAGAAAGATGAGAGGCATAGGTACACTTTAAGAGACAGAATGAGAAAGCAGGATATCTCACTGTAGCATTTTTAAAGAACTGATTTGTAAACAATGGTGGAAAATAAGTATTTGGTCAAGAACTAAAGTTCTACTCCGTACTTTGAAACACAACCTTTTTGGCAATGATGGAGGTCAAACGTTTTCTCCAAGTCTTCACCAGGTTTATTACACGTGACGGTATTTTGGCCCATTCCGCTAAGGAAGGGATTTTTTGGGGGGTTTTAATTGGGCAACAGCTTTTAACTCCCTCCATGAGTTTTCTGTGGGGTTGAGGTCTGGAGGCCAGTGGCCCTCCTTACTTTGGTCTCAGCAGATCATTGATCAGGTTCATTTTAGATGAAGATTATCTGTGATCTCATACGTCTTCCATTTTGTTCCAGTTATTGTGGATTTCTTCCCACCGACCTGCTGCCTAGTATAGATTCACTCCTCCAAACTGGTGCAGGTCTACAACTTTCTTCTTTAGACCTTCAGCAGCTCTGTGGTTTTCAAAATAGTATTTTATTTTAATGTCTGTGGACATTTGGCCTTCATACAGATGAGCAGTTCAAATGAATGTCATTAATACAATGAGATGAGAACAGAAGAGCTTCCTAAAAAGAGGCTCTTTGAGGACCAAACATCTTGCTTATTTCTGGTTGACCAAACACTTATTTGATTTCCTGTTTTTTATTTTCTCTCTTATGGTTAAAGTGTAGCTTTGATTAAAAATAATCATCTTTCTCAGTAGCAGAACTTGCCCAGTCAGTCATAACTGACAGTCATTCACTGTAAATCAAGAAGGCTGGAGAAAATAAATGTTCATTTTCCAAAGGAGAAATATTTAAGAGAGCGGTGATCTGATTGGTGCGTCTCTTAGCAAGTAAAGCATCTATCCTCTGTCTCCTCCTAACATAGTTTGTCCTTCATTGACTCATTTCTAAGCCTGCGGTCTATAGTTGTGTTCTGGAGATTCGTATTCTTTCCCTTTTCTACCTCTGGATCTGTTCGTTCAACTGGATGTTGTTGTCTGTATGCAGAAGGCCAGCTGGACCATGCGGTGCTGCTGCAGGTGATCAAGGAGCAGCAGGAGCAACAGAAGAGACTTCTGGACCAGCAGGAGAAACTACTGGCTGTCATAGAGGAGCAGCACAAGGAAATCCACCAGAAACAGCCAGGCGGTGTGTAAATGCATCACATGCACCGCAGATTTGTTGTATCCAACACTCCCCAATGAGCTGAGATCTTGATATGTTCCCCCGAGTGTCCCTGGAATGTATTAGTAAATGGAAAAGCTGTGGTTAAACCACTGCGTTCTGCATGGAGGAGCAGTGCTAACTATGGTGGCCACCCAGCACCTGTCCATTTTAATTCAGGGATTTATAAAGAATAGGGACCTGCACCAGGCTAGTACACGTGTAACAGCTTCTATATGCAGCCGGTCCTGCTGCTGCTCTGGGTGCAGCTTTTTGAATCTCATCAAGCAGCTAAAATTAAAGATCCAGATTCTCTAAAGGAGAGAAAACCCTATCTGCTCATGAAATGGAATACGCTGCATTGAGTAAAGTTCCCAACAGAGAGGAAGAGCACGGATCTCCAAACTCCACACGAGATGATTAATCCAGTGTAACTGTAACACTGTCAAAGAAAGCACTGATGCGTACGTTATATCCTGCTGAATAAAATACTTCCTTGTTTGCTCCGTTCGATGCTGCAACTGATTGTGGAGGAGCAGAAACCTCCCAATATTTATATGACGTGTTTGAGAAAACATGCAGATATGAAAGCAGGTTTTTCCGCAGCCTGTCTCCCTTCTTTACAAGTTTGGTCCGTTTTTGATTGCGTGGTTTCTTTATCTTCAATAAGGCTGCTTGATAATAATGTACAATAATTAAGATGACATCCTACAACAGGCCCAGATTGTTTATTCTAAAGAAAGGAATTAAATACCTACATGGTTAATAATGGATTATTTTCAAACCAATGTTGATTTTTTCTTCTTTTATTTTTATTTGAAAGGAGCAGCAGATGTTGAGGAGAAAAGTATCCAGGAGGCAGGAGCAGCTAAAGCCAGAGAGTCTGGGGTGGCATCAGACCTGAAGGCAGCAGCTGGGGGGGGAGAAGAGGCCGCCATTGTGGAGCAGAAACAGGATCCGGCCGGGAATGCAGGTGCTGAAGCTGAACCTGCTAAAGGGGCGGCTGCAGCAGCTTACAAGGAAGATGCTAATGTCGCCGCTGGAGGGGAGTCTCAGCAGCAGAGTGAGCTGGGAGCAAGGGGGGTGCGGCTAGGAAAGAAAAGATCTGAAGGCCTTCAGAATGATCTGGCATCTCAGGTTAGAGATGAAGAAAAAAGTCTGGATAAAGAAAAAGCACTGGAGAAAGACGTTCTTGATGGGGATAAAAATAAAAAGGTGCAAAATGAAAATGAGGAAAGGGAGAAACTTCAGAGGGAAATGATAGAGAAAGAAGTGCATGCACGATTGGCAAATGCACTCCTGGAAAAGGAGAGACAGGAAAAACTAGCCGCCCAGCAACAGCTGGACAAAGAGAGAGCTGAAAAGGAAAGAATAGAAAAGGACGTTCAGGCCCGGGTGGAAAAAGAACGACTGGAGCGAGAGAAGAGAGAGAAGCTGATCAGTGAGCAAGAGCTCATCCGAAAGAAAGAGCTAGAGAGGGCAAACCTGGCAGAGCAGCTTCAGCAAGTAGACAAAGAAATAAACGAGAGAGCGAAGAAAGAGCAAGAGGCAAAGGAGACTCGGGAGCGGCTGGCCCAGCTGCACCGGGCCATAGAAGCTAAAAACGCTGAACAACCTGCAGAAGGAGCTGAGGGAGAAGACGGGGAAGCTTTGAAAACAGGAGGAAGAGAGCTCAAAGAAAAAGCTGCTCAAGCGAAGCCTGGAGAAGGGGTAGGAGATGAGGCTGTCAGAGCCCAGGCACGCCTCCAGGGCTCCCGCGAGAGGAAGAGGGAGCAGGGAGAGACGGATCTGAAGCGCAGGAAGAGAGCTCTGGAAGCAGGAGAAGCTGCAGGGCCCTTGAAGGACTCCAGGGGATCCAGAGGGGTCCCTGGACTGGAGCCCCTCCTGGAGTTAGGAGGCTCAGACCTGCATGTTGCCCTGGAGCAGCAGCTGCTTGCTGCGGCGGTGGTGCACTCCAGGCAGATTAAACAGGCCGCGGAGGACGATGGAGCAGAGTAAGATCAGAAACATTCCTGTTGGATGGCTTTACAGCACAGATCCACACCTGCACAACCTCATCATACTGTGGAGCAACACGCTGCTGCCTTACATCCAGCCTCCCTAACATTAGGGACCTTAGAGTTTCTCTCCTTACCATGAAGATGACCCAAAGTCTTATCCAATCTATGTAAATATAACTTATTTTGTTTCAAAGAGCTTCGTCTCCAAAAGGTCACTGTGTAAATAGAAATATATCTATGCAAATTCTAATATTTCTGAGCAGGAATATAATGTTTAATGTTGTTTGTACTTATGAGGGGCAGCTAAAGGATTCTGCCTCCAGAGAATGTGTTCATGTTTGTGGACGTCACACATGTTGATATCATCCTTTTGAATCGTCTCAGTTTGGTTGCGTTGTCAGTGAAGGTCACCTGTGAATGTAGCCTTATTAACTGAACAGGTGTGCTTATTTTAAATTTGGACCATTGACTCATAAATCACCTTTTTTTCTTGCTGGTGCCTTCTCTGACCTGCAGTAAAAAATAATAAATGTGCATTTTATTTTTTCTCTTTTCTCCCTTTAACTTGTTCTCACAGTATTGTTAAAACTAGGATAAGACTTTTGGTTTGAACATATTTTCTAAAGCCTCAGTTTGCATTTTAAAAGCATATTTTTGTATGTGAAATGTTTTCTTGTACATTTTGCTGATAATCAATAAAAGCCAAAATTGAATTTTGGTTTGTTCAAATATAAAATTGATCAAATAATTTATTGTCTTTGTTACAGAGATGCACAGAGCATTACAGCTTGACTCAGAAACATTTCCAACATCATTTTTACATCCGTTTTCTGCCACAGATAAGCCAACCAAACCCAGATGTTTGCCACTCATCTTCTTTTCTTCCTGGCCTGAAAAGACAATACAAAATAGAAATATCAACATTTCCATTAAGACCAATACTCTAACCAAAGATTGTGACTCACTGCATTGGTGAAGCAGGTCTTTAGGGCTTCAAACTCTTTAGCACACAGGTCCTTCTTCAGCTCCTGGTTGCCTGTTGTTGTAGCTGCAACACACTTCCCATAAACTGCAGCCTAGATAATGATATAACAATCACATTCTATTTAGGATCTCAGATAACTGCAGGTAATATATTTCATTCATTACCCTCACTTAACTGGGATGTCCCTTTATATTTAACCAGGCCATATTGATCATGTGATCTAAACCGAAGGTTGAGAGGAACTGTCCTGTAATGATTATGTTCCAGATGCCACCCTGCTCTAACACACCTGAACCGAACGACTTGCTCTGTATCAGGACTCTGCAGAACTATTTTTTATACAGAGATAATTTAGTTGAGTCCTGAGCCTGGTTCTGCTGGAGGTTTCTTCCTTTTAAAAATGAGTTTTTCCTCTCCATTGTTGCTGCATGCATGCTCAGTGTAAGGGATTGCTGTAGCATCAATAACAATGCAAGTGAATATCAACTGTTGCTCATCGAGGATGAAAAATCAACGGCACGATGCAATCTGCTGGTTTTCCTTGCGTCTTTAGATGACATGTTGTGGATTGGTGTTATATAAAGAAGCATAAAGGTCAGGAATGCATCCTAAATTTACATGACAGTAACTATTGGGGGGGACTAGAGTTGGAGAACTCTGATTTAAACAATTTCATTGAAGCTCTGGTTTGATGTTTAAGGTTGTCCAGCTGGAAGGTGAACATCCATTATTGGTTGAAGATTAAATCTTTAGAAGATGAAATATAGACCTCATCTGTATTTAGCGCATTTCCAATTTAACATCAGGATTCATATGAAGATGCAACTAGACTGTATTTATGAAACTGATCTCTAATGAGGGCAGTTAAACAGATACTTGTTTGTAAACAGTTTTAGATTACGTGATATATATGGATTTCCCCATTTCTAAATGTAACTTACAGAAAATATTTAAATCATTGAATTTGAAAAATATAATGAAGATTTAAGACAATTTAGATGATGCACAAATCTGAAATGGTTTAAAAATTACATCCGTTTGGAACGAGAGCGAGGGCAGATTTACCATTAGGCAAAATTAGGCAGTTGCCTAAGGCCCTAAGTTCCTTGCGGCCCCATAAAACTTCTTTCATTATGTATGGTTAATACAGCTATTACTTATTTATGCACTTTAATTATGTTTTTGTTAAAATACCATCAGAACGCTTATAATATTACGTGTGTCTCAGGGCCCCCCCCATCATTGTCCACCACACTGGAACAGTCCATTTGCTGTGCATGTGCAGAAAGGTCCAAACAAACAACAGGAAGAGCAGTGTTGCCAACTTCATGCTTTTGTCACTATATTTAGTGACTTTTCAGACCCCTCTGGTGCTTTTATTACAAAAAAAGCATCTAGCACCAAATCTAATGCCTTTTTTAAAAGTCAAAAGCAGCGAACTCTGCTTTCCAGAGCAAGTAGATTGGTAACCCCGCCTCCTGCTCTCCTCCATCTTCTCTGCTGTCATGATTCATGAAGCGATATTTTCATTCAAATTAAAAATGGAGAACAGATAAGCAGATCATGGCTTGTCTACTATAGAAAGGAAGTATCATGTTATTTACTTTTGATTTCACCTTTTTGGAAACACAGAAAGGTGCAATCAGCTAAGTTAGAATGGGCTTAGTGGTTGGAAAAAAAAATCTATTATTTCTTGTGAAAGAACAAATAATGTATGTCTATTCTATAAAAATGTCTGTATCTGTAGAATGGGTCTGTTTTATGTGTTGTCTTCCCCTTTCAAAGGGCCCCATACCTGTCTTTGCCTAGGGCCCCACATTTCCTAAATCCGCCCCTGAATGAGAGCAGTATGTGAATGGCAGCTACCAAATGTTTGAGTAGCAAAAACACATTTTCAAAAAGTCTGATTGTCCTCTTTTAGTTCTGTCTGCTTGTCGGGTTTTAACGAAAGCTAATATTCCAGCCACATCAACATTTCCTGTTAAAACTCACCTCATCTGCGCACTGAGCTAAAAGCTCAGGGAAAACTCTCAATCTCTCCCGGCTGCGGCTCCATACATTTGACCCCGACATGCTTCGTTCTTTGTGTTTTACATTAACAAAGAACAATAATGACAGTCTGTCTAAATGCAACACTGCTTACTGGTTCGTTAAAGGCACAAACAAAACCAAAATAACCCGATGTCATCCAGCAGATTCATGCCAAACAAGGACGCCGACATGTTGGATTCTCTGTTACAAAAAGAAACGTCCGTCGATCATTTGTAGAAATATGATTCGCTCATAAAGCTGCCAGTCAAACTGACAGCTGAGGAACGCGGAGGGCTGGGAGGCTTTTCTTGCACCTGATTGGCTGATCCTTGCAATTGGAAGCCATGACAACGCGAATAGACGAGAACGTATTCCACCTACTGCCTTCTGATTCGCTAGTTGTCATCGTTAGCACCGCCCTCAATATTAGCCGGAAGATGAGTGACACGCAGCTAGGTCTGCTAAATCATGGCAGCATTTATGGAAAGGTTGTCTTTTCTGCAGAAGGTAAGTTATTTTAAATCTGTAGGCTTGTGGAAGAGCAGCTACAAACCTAGATAAACTTGACAAGTTGGACATAGAGCTAATGTGTGTCCTTTGGTGGTTTATACTTAGCTAGTTGTTACAGCTAGCCTTCAAGCTAAACATCTAAATCCACAAGTTTATCTTAAAAATATCTGCTTGTTTTGCTAGAGCTTTGTCTTTTTACTATAAGTGGATTTTAACATCATAATGTTCTCCCACCTATCTAAGATCCCCACCCTGATGAAGGCAACAGCAGATGATGAGTCCCCCTGTCCTGGCTACCTTTTCCAGGAGATTGGAAGTATCCTTTATTGGCTCATGATTGCCCGCTGGTTTCTAGGATATAATGGATCCATCATTACTCCACCAAGTTCCACCCAATATACAGCCTTACAGCCTATGTGCAGGTATTATTCATCTTTAAGCTTTTAAAAAATTGGCCTAAGTGGCCATTGTAGACTTGGATTTTATTTGGATTAATTAAAGTAGAATATAATTTCACAGTAATATTTTCAATTATTGATTATTTTGGTAAAGGAAATAAAAAAGCCTCCCGTTTGTGAAAAAGAACAGCATCTTCACAGCATGATACTGCTACCACTATGCTTTACCAGGTAGTTTGTCTGTGAGCTGTGGTATGCAATGTTACTGCAGGGTTAGGATAGCGATATGCAGACCATGTTCTAATGACCAAACCTCGCAAATTTATTGGTAGAGGATGTCCAAGTGTAAACATTTGCCATATGCAAAATGATTCTATATTGAAAAAACACCCTTGTTTTCTTCTGGTGAAGATTCTCAGTCATCCAGGTCATAGTCATTCCAAAAAAGTAAAAAAAAAACATCCATTGGACTTTGTTTTCAAGTTTGAAGATGTTTTGCTTCCCATCCAGGAAGCTTTTTTAATTCAAAATATCAGAAATAGCGTTGAGTTTGAGGCTTTATACAGTAGCCCAACTAAGCCTTGTTTTTGTGTAGAAAACATGCTAATTTAAACATAGGTATGGGACCATCCCTTTGGATTAGAGGTCGTTTGGCTTCCTCTGTTAGCCTGTAATGCCCTATACTGGTCTATGCCTCTGAAAGGGGTCGTTAAAGGGAACTGTTGGCCTGGCTGGACAGGCGAGGTCGTCTGTTCCCCTGTAATGGGGTTGGGGTTACGATGATAGTGGGAAGGAATCAACTCAATTGCTGCATTGTTGATTTAAAGGCTGAAATCTGAGTCCACCCCCTCTTTAATTTGCATATTTTCTAAACAAAAACAAGCCTTTAATATTATTATAAAGCCTGGAACTCAACGCTGTGTCTGACATTTTGAATTGCAGAAGCTTCCTGGATTGGAAGTGAAACATCTTCAAACTTAGAAACAAAGTCCAGTGAATTGTTTTTTAACTTTTTTGGATCTTTTGTTTGTACTTCTTAAAAGTCAGGTACAAACTGACATGTAAAAATATCTGCTATTATTGTTGCAGCATAAGATGCATTGGTACAATCAATAAGGATGGAGAGAAATTCTGTGAGCATTAAAACATATTTTGACCATCAAAATAAAAATAAACTATGTTATTAATAAAGAAATAAAGTCTTCAGGTCGGCTCAAATAATAAACAGGGACAGCAGACCATATTTTTAACAACTAAACCACACTTTGCTTGTTTATAAAAAAATATATATATATATATATATATATATATATATATATTTTATATATATCAAAAGAGACTTAATCTCTTCACAATAAGGATTTTTTTTCTTCCTCGATTCAATGAAACATAACTATACATGCAGTACAGTTATGTTTTATTTTCTTTCTTTGTTCCCACCGCTGATATAGGCTGCTAGTATTATAGTTCTTCTTTAATGCTGTCATTATTAGTTTGTAAATAATTCTCAGTATTACCTCCATCTCCATGGCTTTGAACCATCTGCTGTCTTGTTCAGCCACCCTCAGACTGCTTGCAGAAAATGCAATTTGCTTATTTTAATCAGCGAAACCAAATCAGTTTTTAGATCTTAGATCAGTAATTATGATCTGCAACATGGCCATTGATTGAACATACTAAAAAAGGATGAATTTTCTGTCTTTGAAGATCAGTTTTCTATGTAGACCCAAATAGTCTGTTTGGTGTTTTTGACCAGAGTTCGTGTTTTACCTGATTGCTGTGTTTCATACATGACTTGTGGCAAAATGTTGGGATTTGTGCAGCATTCTGTCAACAGAGACGTCCTTCTTGTCACTTTTTTAAAAGGCCCATTTGATGCAGTTCCAAACTTCTAGTTGACCTATTCCCTCACTAATCTCTGCAGCTCCTCCAGAGTTACCATAGACCTCCTTTCTGTCTTTATTAAAGCTCTTAGTTTCAGCCCTGTGAATATATCTGCACCTGTTGCATATTTTTCCTTTGAGGAGGTGGAACTGAACAGTATCAGTGAGTTGTTTGGGATATTGGTTATATCACCTAACTCTGGGTTCTCCTGACCTGACCCATCTGCCATGTCCCTCAATTTATGATGCATTTTTTCCCCTAATGTTTTCATAAAAGTCTTCAATAAAACAGCAGCATTTGTAAATATTTCCCTTTATTCTGATACCTCCAAATCCACTAAAGTGCAGCTGATGGCCTTTAGAGAGTGTGGGTCTATCCTCCCTGTAAAGGCACTTCGTTACAAATGCATGTCAGATTATTTAGATTTTTGTTGTTTTCTTTATTTTTAAAACCCCAACTTGTTTTCCTGAGTGAGAATACTGTAGCACAGCTCCACCCCTAATAGTTTAGATGTGCAGTGGTGTAGAAAAGCACTTTGATGGGTTTTAACGGCATGTTTTATTATTCTGCATTATTCCTAAGCTGTGAACAAGCCGGTCTCTATTCAAACAACCTTTAACTTTAACCACTCTGTAAGAAATCTGCCACGAGTCGACAGGTTATGGCCAATGTTTGCTGGAATATCTCCTGGAGAGACTGCAGGTGGAGTCGTGTCATGTTAAACTGAAGGTGAGGGACTCGTAGCAGCAGCACCTTCCTGTCACTCAGTTATTGATGGTTGTGTTGTGTCCTGCCATTTGCCAGGTGCTGAAAATCTTTATCCACCTATGTGGACATGGCTCAAAACATTTCCTCACAGAGCTCAGAAGAAACTCCACCTTCATCCAGCACGCATCAAGTAAGGGCCTGTGATTTAGGATCTACGTACCTCCTGTCAGCCTGTCTAATGGGTTTATGTTCCCTCATTTGTTTTCTAGTTTACAGCGGCGCTCCGGATCCCATCCATGGTACAGCTCTATACCAGAGAGTAAGGAGTGCAGCACAGGTGAGGCGGAGTGGACCATCAGACCTGTAGCCTGGGTACACTGGGTGGGTTCCATTGGCTGCTTCCTCCAAGGAATCGCTCTACCTGCACTGGGTCCTTTGAAGGCCGTGAGAATAAGGAGGCCTGAAGAGTTTAGGATTCCAACAGATCCAGCCTACTACGCCTTTCACCGCTTCTACGCTCTGTAGCAACCATGACAGCGGACACACACAGCAGGCTAAGAATGGACACCCAGCTTCTCCCTCACTGGAGGCTGGAGGAGTTTTCTCCAGGGGGGATATAACTTCAAAATAGATCTATACCAAAAACCAATCAAACGTGTAGTAAGTTATCGCTGCAATATATTTATATGAATGCCAACAACAACAACAAAATATTTTAAAAAAATTATAAAAACAAAACATAAATTCATTTACAGGTTTATTTTTGTACATAAATCTTTCCCTTCTGAGGCTTTGAGAAGGTAAATCTGTGTTTTGCATGGATCCAATATGGAGTCACTAACCTACAGAAATAATCTACCAGCTTAATAATGGAGAAGCTTTTATAAATTATTATAATTTTTCTTTTTAAGCGTTAGCCTCGCTAGGCGGTTAGCCTTGTAGCTAAACCAGAAAAAGACAGAGTCTACCATCTCCATCTGTTTTTGGACTGCTGATTAATTTGGATGTACAGCTGATCAGGTCCAAACAGTTTGACCTCCAGCTTTTCTTGGTAACTTTGCTTCCCTTCAGCGACTGTAATTCACCCGCACTACAACTGTGACGACAGTTCCTGTCACCTCAGGGCGTAGCTTTGATGGCCCAGAGCTCCTATACCGCTGTATTTGCAGAGGAGCTACTGCGCATCTACAACTTAACCAGAGTCAATGGGCGAACATTTCTGAAATACGTTACCAATCCGACGAAAAACCCAACAGCTTTACTCGTCATTAAAGATTAAATATTTATCTTGCACATCTACAAATATACATATCAAAATATTTAAATTTTATAATTTAAATTTGTTTTTTTTCTGTCTTAAATCAAGGTCATTGTGTGGGAGGGGCGGCACCCTAGCACCCCCTATTGGCCAGTAGCCACTGTTCTAACTACTGTTCTGTGTGATGATCACGTCTTCGAGGAGCTTTGGCAGCAGTACAGTCATCGCAAATCCCCACACTACAGAGATTTTAGAATCTGTCCTTAAACGTCAGCATAACCCAACAGCACAGCGACGGATAAACCTTTCAATAAACCAAACATTACCGCCACATATCTGACTCAATAACCATTTATAAACCTCCATTTTTCTTCATTTCTGACAGAACTATTCACATACTTGTAATATATTAAACTGCACTTCCAATATTCACTACTGTTTGGCACCATTTACCTTTTTTCTCTGAGCACAGAGCAGTTGGCTTTGTTGGACTGGAAATGAATCTCAGGAAACCAAAAGGCTACGTAGTAAACACCGGACCAGTGCTTCATAACGGGGGGAATGAAGGCTGCATTTGTTAGCTGCATAAGGAGGAGTCTCTCCATCCGAACAGGCCTCTGTGCCGCGCTTTGACATAATCGGCCAACGAATCTGGCTATCTGAGGACGCAGCCGCTGAATTTGAACTTAGCCACTGTCTACAAATTTGAACTGTTTCCTTCACAGGAAGTGGCCCGTTTACTTTTCACGGATGCAGTTTCCACCAAAGGCAGCATTACTGCTCCCAGCATGGGCCCAGCAACAGTAGGTCAGCATTTAGTATTTGAAAATACAACTTTAGATATATCTGTCTTGCTATTGACTGAATGTGTTTTATGACATCCTTTGTCATGATGTTTTACCTCAAACACAGTTTTGATTTGTTGGCTTTTCTCCAGGAATGGGATCGATGGGTTCCCAAAGGTCTGGACTGCAGGGGTTTGGTTACAATCCAGGGAAGCGAGGGACAGGTAAGTGACGTAAACCGCATTGCAGACGCCACATCTGCTACTCTGTCAGAGAAATGCTTTCCATCCTTAAGCTGTTTGTGTCTGTAGGCAGTGACTCACTGCTGGATAAGATCCAGAAGGCTGCAGAGGTAGTTGCCAGCGCAGTCCTTCCCCCAACTGAGCAGCAGGGCATCAGACTGCAAGAGAGCCATTACCGAGCTGTAGTGGCTCCATCTGCACCCATAGAGGTGGCGGTGCCGGCGTGCGCCTATAACCTGCCTCATCGCAAACCTAAGGGTGAGATGTTTGTGCTCTAATGGGCCATGGAAACCACTGACATTTAGGTCACCAGCGAATCGATCTGGATTAATGCCCTGTTGTTAACTCTTCCACATGCTTTTCATTCAATGGTTTTAAAGTTCCCACATTGATATGGCTCTATAGTGAGGGAGGGGAACCTGGGCTTCCAGAGCTGCAAGTGGCTCCATGGACCCTCTACAATGGCTCTTAATAAAGCTTTGGATTTATTAAAAGCTTATTTTAAATTTTCAAATATAATGACAGATCGGTGACTTCAAATTAGAGAATAATTCTTATTTATTCCCAAAAACTAAGGTTTTTTAATTAAATTACTGGATGCAAACTATTGGTACTTCCACAAACCAGGAAGCAGATTTCTCATCTCCATCAAAATATTTATTTATACCGAGAGGCTTAAAAGTTTAATCTGAGCGCATCTGAAAACTTCTTAACAAACTTCTCATGGATGAAGAGATGCTGAGTTTGGAAGTAGAGAACAAACATTAAGCTGGTTCCATGTTGGGATGATTGAGATCATTTAGAAGAGTCCTGTCAAAAATAACAGTCAAAGTCAAGAAGCTGAGAGCAGATATTTCTTCTTCATCATAATAATAATAATAATGTAAGGATGCAGGTAAAATAAAGCTATCAAATGAAAACTTTTATGATCCTTTCCCTCCTCAGCGACCCAGCGATGCCCAGGGCAGGTAGGGGGAGGCTGGGAAGAGACCGACAGCAGCAACGGCTCCTCTCACAACTCGTCTCAGGACTTCGCCACCAACAGCAGAGCGTCTGTTGGCAGCAAATCGGCAGCCAGCAGGGAGAGTAGTGGGGACCTCTCTGAAAGGTAGAAAGCTATTGAAATGAGCCATGTTGCTGTTTTGGTCTTAAAATAATGTTCACTGATGGTGTCAAATTGGCTATATATAGGTTTATTTAAATGCTTGTATTCTATCCAGTCGCTCTGTTTTATTTTTTGGTTCCTTTATGGCATGAGTCCATGTCTACCAGGTTCATCTGACTTAGCAACTTTGAATGCATGTTGTGAGTAGGTGTGGCGGATGACGATGAGGAAGCTGCCCAAAGTAGTCCCTCACTCACGCTGGAGTCATGAGCTCATTAAACAAACAGACTCAGATTAGGTCAAACTGCACATATCTGTTTTTATTGTTTAATTCTAGGAAATCTAAAAAAAACAAAAAACCCCAAAAATGCAAGAATAGAGTTTTGTTAAACTTAGAAATGCAGTGAAGGTGTGCTGCTTACAGCCGGGTAGGAATGTCAAAGTCATTGCTACTGTGAAAAGTATTTATACTCAAACTCTGTATCCGGATACAGCATTCATTTGGCTCAGCATCTCTACTAAGACACGTGTTGTTGCTGTTAATTTTAGATTTCTGGGTTATTTATTTTGAACAGCTTTGGGTTTTAACGGATGGAGGTTGTTTCTCATTCTGTCCTCAATATTTTTCAAAAACTGACCAACCTCAAATAAAAAAATGCATCTGATTTATAAACCTTAAGACATTTTCTGATCCAGGTCTGGTGCTGGCAGGTGAGGGTAAATGATCCAGTGATCTGTCAGACCAGCATACCCATAGTCAACACATGTTTATCCCTTTAGTTTTGTATGAAAAATACACTTTAAACTACCTCAACAGGCATGTATCCCTTTAGTCATGTACAAAAATACTATTTAATTACTAACTTTATGGTGTTTTTTTAAGTATATAAGCATTTTTTGTACAAAACTAAAGGTATAGACATAAATCTGAAGTCTTGCTCAGCGTTTTAACTATGTTGATCTGACTAAAAAGCAGCTTTTGAAAATCCTGAATCTGATATTTAAGCAGTTTAAATCCTGCTCTCTCTGACCCAAAGCAAACATCAGATTAATACATCGCTTGTCTTGCTCACTGCACTGCGTTTCTTTTTGGGATGGGCTCAGACAGCTGGTGCTGAATACTGCAACTCCATCTTTCAGTTCTGCTGCTGTTGCCATGGTGATCTAACTTAGCTGAGATAGAGCCAAAAATGAACCAAACCAGCTGACTTTCCAAAAAAGTTAAAAATTAATCCACTGGACTTTGTTTCTGAGTTTGAAGATGTTTCTCTTCCACCCAGGAAGCTTTTTCATTTCAAAATGTCAGAAATAGTGTTGAGCTTTAGGTTTTATAGAGTGGACCAAAAACAAAGCCTTGTTTTGGGTTAGAAAACATGCAAATTGAACCTGATGAACGCTCCTTAGGAATGGGCCTCCGTTTGGGTTAGAAATGTTCTCCTTGCATTTTAAGGTGTTATTCTGTAAAAGCCTTGTTCTCCACATGTTCTCTAGAACCGAAGCGTTGCAGCTGGGGGACTGCGGCCAGGAGACGGCTCTGATCAACAGACTGACTGAAGGATCCAAAGTTTTCCTCACCAGGGAGGAGAGTCAGCACTTCCTTAAAGAGTTTGTTCCTCCATTCCTCCTTAAGCTAACCTCTCTCCTTCGTGTTTTGTACTCTGGTTTCTCATTTCTCCTCCTCTCTCAGGTGTTCTACTCTGAACTGTGAAGTTGTGGTGGAGTTGCTGTCAAGCAAGCTCCAGGATCCATCCCCCACTATTCAGATGGTAACCTAAACGCCTCAGCTAGAAGGTTCTGGATGCAGTGATCACCTGCTGCTGATGTAAAGCTGTGTTTCTTTAATCCTTCAGCGGGCTCTGGGTGCCGTCTCTTGCCTCATGACCTCTGACCTTCTTGCTCTGGAGCAGACATTCAGAGCTACTCAGCGCAGACTATACCATCTAAGCGAGGGGCCTCCAGGACCTGTAGCCAACAAAGCCACCAAGGTAAGAGATGAAGACGGAGACAGAAAGGACAGGGAGGTGCCTGAAGTCAGCCTGTACCGTTATCTGCTCCTTTCAGATCCTGCGGCAGTTTGAGGCTCTGATGGGCGGATCGCTACACGCTTCTCGACAAGAGGCGGCGCACAGCAGCCAGGCAACATCTAATCAGTCTATGCCGTCTGCATACTTGAAGAGCTTACAGCCAACAAACCCAGCTGACAGCAGCAGCGGCGGCCCTGAACTCTGTCACCCTGAACCTGAGCCGTCGGGCATTGACCATCCACAGAACCTCCCAGCTTCCGCCGCTGGTCTGGATGAGAGTTGGAGATGCTTGACAGGAGAGCAGGTGGATAAAATGGCCAAAAGTAAGGCCCAGTCGGATAGAACTGCTGTGGCTCCAGAGCCCATCAGTGAAGGAAGTTCCTCTGAACCCGTGAGCGTGGCGGCCAATCACAGTAGCCTGTCTCTGTTCAGTGGGATGGAGCTGGTGATGAAGGCGGGGCCGCTGCTTGGAAGGGACGTGTCGCACACAGAGCCTGACAAAACGGACAAGAGTGAGGCTCAAACTGCACCTAACTGTAAAAGTTTAAGGAACTCCTCAGTGGTTTGGAATGAGAATAGAGAGGATGAGGAGCAGGAGGAGCAGGAGGAGGATGAGGAGCAGGAGGAGGATGAGGAGCAGGAGGAGGATGAGGAGCATGAGGAGGATGAGGAGCAGGAGGAGGATGAGGAGCAGGAGGAGGATGAGGAGGACGGCCCTGCCTCCTCTGATCAGAGCAAACCTCAGTCAGCTTTCTCCTTTCTCAACTCCTGACTGCAATCTGAGGATCAGGAGCTGCTATAGAAAGATGTCACCTCTACATCCTCCTCACTAAAGATCTGTGGTATTTTAGCTGCCGTAAAAACCATCCAGGCATAACATTATGACCACCATTATGAAATCATCCATCATGGTACCTGAATGTGTGATATGAAAGCGTGAAAATGTGATAAAGTAGGATTTCAAGGAGGAAATCAATTAGCCAGCTGGAGCCGAGTGTCTTTCTTCTCCGTTCCCCAGGTTTGGTCCAGTGACCCACCCATTGATGGTTAAGGCTCACCTTTATGATCCGACCCTAAATCTTCTAAATTCTCAAGGTCTAAATCCAGTGGAGGGTCTGTTGGACTCCTGGACCAACTGCAGTCTATGGAGGCCACCAGAACTCTCAGTCCAGCTGTGGTCCACATGTGATTGATTGGCTCTAAAGTGTCTTTTAGTTGATGTGAGGTGGTGGAAGATCTGCTACAATCACATATTCTGTGCTTCACAGAGGAAATAGATTGATGCAACCTGCAGGCATTAGATGTTTTATACCAGCAGGACATAAAAAGTAAAAGTTGCTATAAAAATAAATGTTCTACCTGGTAAACTTTGTGCCACAGGCTCATTATTGATCTGGCTGTTTCTCTGCTCGCGGCCGCGGACTGAACTATGTTCGTCCCTTTTAGTCAGAAAATCCATTTTCTGTCTGCAGCCATTGAGGAGCAGGCCATATATGGAAGTGCTTCATGTTTTTTTGTTTTGTTTTATTGCACTTTAGAGTCACATATACATAGAAGTCCTACTTGTTATTTATTTCTCTTTAAAGATTCTATAGTTTTCTGGCTCCAAATACCTCTAAGGAAGCTGTCTCAAAAAGAGATTAACTGGTTTTCCTGAACCAGTTAACGAGGATGTTTCCCTGGTTCAACGCACCAGAAAGAAAAGCTTAGTTACATCATAGTTAAGTTCTTCAGTGACCTTTTAAGGACCCTACATATTAATTCCAGATGTGTTGAAGCAGATAAACATCTGTAAGCTCGACATAAGCTTTTAAGGACTGTATTTGGACTCCTGTGCCTTAACAGATCTGCTGCTAACATCTTGGTGGGGTCATATTGTTATGCCTGATTGGTAAAGGATGCAGATTAACATTTTTCAGGCTTGTTTCCTTTAAAAAACTACTTTTGACAACAGCTTCCACCAAGAGTCTGAGTTTGGAAAACTACGGAAAGCACGTCTGTCCTGTCAAGGATCTGCAAACTCTGCATGTTATATTTTATATTTTACAGGAATTAAAGCATCTATGGTTTTGAGAATAGCAGGATATCAAACTGCCTTCCAGTGATGAAGGCAGCAGCGCAGGAGCAGATACTCCAATAATGAAGTTAGTTTTCCAGCCATAAAGCCAGCTGGGAACTAATGAACCATGTCGAGCAGACCTGCTGCTTTCTTTATCTCAGGATTCCACTACTTTTCTGTTATATTTTTGGAAATAACAACTTACACCTCTGCTGCATGTCGTCGACTTAAAGGGAAAACCCTGTTTGTGATTTGCACTACAGCTACCTTCTTTTAAACTCAAAGAAATGTCTTCCTTATTTTTGGTAATAAGTTATGTAGATTGGAGCTTTTCTGTACATGGAGAAAATATCTTGTGTGTTTAGTCCTAATTAAAAAGTCATAAATGTGCATAACTTTGAAATAGTGATTCTAATGGTGGATTGAATTGTTGTGAGATTTATGGTGTATAATCTGTGATGGGGAAGTGTTTGACGCAGCCTCGGCATCCTCATGGGACTACAGGTGCAACTTTCAGTTCCAAAATGCTGCTGAACAATAAAACATGCTGTAGTTTTGCTGCAGCACAACTGAAACGTTTATTTCTTCCAACTGAGTTAAACGTATCTGAAGCATATCGAGCAATAAGCCGTGTTCATGGTTCATGCAAAACGCTGATGCAGAAAAACATGGATCTAAACACATTATTAGGTTGCTGTAATGTATCTGGTTATTTCTGATTAGCCAATATTTATCAAGACGTCAGCTTTGAGGTGAGAAGATGGACTGATACATGATTTTTATCAGACTATTTTTGCATATAAGCCAATGCATGCATGCATTCACTGATTCAATGGTGCATTCAGCAACCACGCCTTCGTTTACTGTCTGTTCTTAATATTATGCTTTCAAACTTGTCTTTGATTAAATTGAGTCTTGTTTAACATTTATCCATGAACCATTTCCATAGAGTTAATGGAGAAAGAAAAAACAAGAAACTGCCCAAAAATATCAGTACATATCAGGCATGGGTTATCTGATGTCAGAATAATTGGTATTGTATCGGCCTTAAGAAAAAAACTGAATCGGTTGATCTCTAGTTTTGGCATGTTATGCTTTCCATAACATTTACATTGTTTAATCCTCCTACAGTTGAGTTTTTAGCTGCATGAAGGAAAAGGTAACATGGAGTTTCACAATGTTGAAAAGTTGCTACTGTTTCCTCTGCAGCAAAGAAAGAAATTAAGATAAAAAAAATAGATAATCCTTGCAGTGAAGTTTAACTCATCACTTAATTAATGTAATGCTGTATTAAAAGGACGCCACAAGCAGCATGCCTGTGAAGCTACCAGCAGCAGAGCCTAAAGGGCTTCCATCACAGATGCGTGTGCCAACCTGATCCCTTTGATTTGAAGGAGCAGAGGCTCTGCTCCCAGCACCTGCCTGTCTCTGAGGGAGAGTCTGGCCACTTCATGTAGGAAGCCCATTTTAGCCACTTCTATTTGAGATCTCAACTTGTCAGTCATGACTGCTCCAATAGGAACGTAGAATTGCCGGTAAATTGAGGGCTCAGTTCTCTCCACAATCAGATGCTGAAAAACCAGATCTGATGGAGTCTCTGCATATATAGTGTAGAAAGTATCTGTAAATCATTTAAACATTAAATACTGTTTTTACTCCAGATTATCATATCCTCAGAATCAGCCAAACCTAAATGTATACACCAATAAATCAAACTCTACTCATTTATAATTAAGTCACAAGGAAGGAAATATTAGAGATTTAGAATATTGGTTAGAGATTAAAAAGAACTGTTAGGATAATGATCACTGATGATGTGTGAGTTTCTTACACCTTAACATCAGCTGCCCGTTGCGTGTCAGAACTGATGTTTTCTCCAGTAGTTTATCTGATTAGGTCGGTTCCTTGGTCTGGGTAGTTAGAATCTTCATTTTGTACGTGGCAAATATTTCAGCTAAGAACAAAGTGTAATATTTTGATAAGGCTGGAGCCATGGATGCCTCCTCATCTGCTAACTGGTATGATGTAATGATGCAGTAGACTGGAGATGAATAAAATGCTACTTTGACTGTTAATTGTAAACACTTCCTGAGATGTGAGCCAGATTGGTAAGCAGCTGTCTTCTGTAAGCCTAGGTCTCTAATCTGAGTAAGATTATCATTTCTATCAAAATCTGTTGTCATGTCTCCTGGTGAAGTGTTATTTAAAGAGTTTGTCCTGGGTGATCTCTTTTCAGGAAAAGAACTGGAGAGATAGAGCTTCAAGGTGTAGACAGAGCTTACCTTTAACAGAACCATGCATAAGTATCACTTTCCTGTTACTCCCTCAGAGAGTTTGGACAATGCTAGACTCAGATATCAGGTTTATCTCAAATGTTCCCGTTCTAAACCCACAAACCTTTGGCTTTGTTGTTTTTCCTGAGATACCAGAGAAAGTGCTGGAATAATTTAAGTTTTTTGCCTTCATGGAAGGCTGCTGCTGCCCACTGCCACTCAGCTGGCTGTAAAAGCCTCATACACGTTCTCTTGGAAAGGAAATAATTCAGAGGTAAGAAAATGTTTTAGGAATATCTTATATTAGATTTTAATCAATTATCTGTATCAAAATACATGTAATAGGATTAAATGTAATTTTTTGTATTTAAAAAAGAGGAATCTTTTGTTTTTGTTTGAAATGCTTCTAGCTAATGTTCCACGTTGATTTCTGTCCTCTGTGTAAATACTCACACCATGCCATTAAGTTAAACCATGAAGATCTAAAACCAGCCTTTGTTTGGCTTTACACTCTTATATTAAGGGAATCATCACAGCTTCCTCTTTAGAATCAGACTTCATAAGTCATTAACGATTGGAATAAAGTGCATAACTTTATTTAAATTCACAAGCACTTTGGATCGTCGCACTTCTGTTGTCATTAGCACCAATGGAAAACGTCCATGCACTGATGCACGCATGTAAAAAGAATGAAACTCCTGGATAAAGTGCACAGGGTGCATATACACACTCCCACCGACACATCAACACAGCACAGGAAAAAGAAAACACAGTGGCTGGGCCATGGAAAGGCGGATGTGCTTATGGTCTCAACAAATGATAAACCAAACATTAGACCCACAGGTGCCTCTGAAGTCCCCCCTGACTGCTGTGATCATGTGGGAGGCTTCAGAATCAACGCTGAAAGACGACAGAAGAGGTCAGCGGTCACGTGGAGCCAGGGCACCCTCTGGTCTGGAGGCTGCTAAAGTGCGCCTCACGCAGAACTCTGTTGATGTAGTCGTAGGAGGCGCTTTGCCCGTGGCCATGGAGACGGTGCTGAAAGGAGCTGGCAGACTCCTCGCACTCCGCTCTAGAGCTGTATTGCTGGTGGTGAGCGCCTGGATTCGTGCTCGCCTCTAATGCTCTTTCTGGACTGCTGACTCCATTGCTGCTGTCGCTGCTGGAAGACTGAGAGCAAGAAGAGAGGAATATATGATGTGCTTTCAATAAAACATGCAAAGATTTCACTGGAAAAAGCAAAGACATACCATACATGTCTGGTTCAAAAAGGAGGACATTGGATCATATTTACAGCACCAAGCAAAATTATTCACCCAAGTTTAAAATACATCTTAATACCTAATGGTTCCACATATTCCAGGATTTTATGGGTCAGGACCAGAAATTACACATTAGTCTGGAAGCCATGGAAGCAGCCAGTTTGGAAATAATAGTGTTCTTTAAGCTGAAGCACAGAAATTCCTGCGCACTGAGAAAAACTGCACCACCCTGAACGCACCATCTGCACTGTGAAACATGGCAGCACCACCCTGAACGCA